GTTGCCGTTATATGAATGCATAGAGTATAAGGGACGGCGTTTACGACTCTACCCCCGAACTTGCAAACCTAGAACGACAGCGAAGGACCGTCTTACAACCACCCATTTTGAAATTTTAGCAGCAAGATTGATTGTGACTTTCTTATAAAAAAAAAAGTAGATGGTCTCTTTGTAGACACTCCTTCATAATTTTTAAAGAGAGAAACTATATGAGATTTCAAGTTTTAGAGAGATAAACTATCTCAATTTTAAATTTTTAGAGAGAAAAACTATCTTAAATTTCAAAATTTATATTGCGGGTGTTAGTTTTAAAAATTGCTTTCTTACTATAGAAGTGGATGAAAAGAAAAATAGTATTAGGATTAATAGCGTAATTTAAAAAATATTAGAATATTGTGATCATCCCGTCTCACCAGCCACCCGAAATAGCTATGTCTCTCTCCTCTCTCTAATTTCCAAATAAAGCATTTCCATTTTTTGGTTAAATAACACATCACCCAATTAACATTTTCCTCTTTAGTACTGTCATGACCATGGCTTTCTAGGGGACCAATCCAGAACAAAGATAACCACGCCATTCTTATGGACCGGCTCATGACTACGAAATGCCATTACTCCAAACTCATTGATGCCAATTTTATTAATCTCATATAGATCATTGAATACTACAACTGATTACCAAATACCCTTTTCAAGGTGGTCCCTCACTAGTAGCCTACAAGACATAGAAAACTCTTCCAATCCACAAACGCACAAAACTATATAGAGGTAGTAGCGTCTTCTTCCTCCTCCTCTTCTAAAATTACTGAGAGGGGCAACGGTGCTCCTCTCTTTATTTAATATTATTGTCCCACATTAGTTGATCCTGCAAGAACCACAAAAACATATGACAAAATTAGGTAAATAATAGAAGGAAGATGCTAAAAGGAAGAGCTAACATAGTTCATTGTTATCTAGTTGAAACTAGTCTAATCACTGCTTGAACAAGTTTGACTGAAATTTAAGATAAAAAGAAAATATATAATATATTAAAAAAGTTATTCAAAAATTTTATTTGGCTGGACGAACAAAAAGAAACTGCATATAGTCCAATAGGCCAAAACCGCTTAACATTTGTTTTGATCAATTTTTTATTAAAGTAAAGTTTTATTTTCGACTAGATCAACCCAGGTATCACTGGTTCGATCTAGTCTTGATAACCATGGTTAATATCATACACAAAAGGTGAAGATTTTTTTTTTTTTTTGAACATTGCAAAGGGTGATGATTTTCATTGATTACGATCAGTTGGAATTCAAATTCAAAACTCAAGGTTACAGATTTATTTTATGCAGAGTTACGGCTCACTTATGCATTTAGAGAGAGAGAGGGGTACCGTGGAGAGAGAGAGAGAGAGGAGATGAGACTAAGTACTTTAGGAGAGAGAGAGAAGAGGCGAGGAGCGAGAGAATGACTTTGGGCCCCACGGGCTCTCATCGAGCCATCGGCTGATGAGATGGCCACGTGGCAGTCTGACAGTACTTTTTGCTTTTATTTATTTCTACCAAAAAAATCTTATTTGTTTTTGGTTTTTATTTGTGTGAATACTTATTTATTTTTGGTTTTTATTTGTTAACTTTATTAGTTGTGTACTGAAAAATCTATTTTCTTTCGTTTTTTAATTCTTTACGGAATAATATATTTTGATTTTCATTGGTTTACGAAAATAAAATCTTAATAAAATTATTTTTGATTCGAATATGAAAATCAACGTAACTGTGCTTTTATGTTTATTAAAATTTAATTTATAATTAAATAGAAATCTTTCTTGAGGAACTAAAAAGTTAGCAATCTAATATTCAAGGAATTAAAAAAAAAAAAATCTAGTATTCCCGCAAATGCATAATACTGTTAGGGCAAGGCTTTTTTTTTTTTTTCTTTTGATCTTCAAGGCTTTTTTTTTTTTGTTTTAATAGCAGAGTACTTTTTGCAATTTATTTCTCTAAATTGAATACATTTTTTCTTAATGGAAATTTAAGCAAATGAAATTTTCATTTTTAGAGCAACTCTAAATATTATAGGGAAAATTTTTTCTTTTTTTCGGAGTCCAGTACAAAAATTGTCTTAGCTGTGATTTTCATACTAATTAACACATTTGATGCCCAGATATATTTAGAAATGGCAATTGTTCAATTTAAAAAAGAGTTGTAACCCATAGACTCTAAAAGGGACGAAAAATTATACAGAGGATATCTAGGGCAAATCTGTAAGAGTTCAATAAAATAAAATTATAAAAGGCATCAGTGCTTAAAAATCCTGATCAACTGGGTGAAGCAGTAGGTTACTAGGTTGATCCAGAGAATACTGATATACTAAAACAACTACGGGCCTTGGCACGTACATAGGCTTTCGAGCCAGCGAAGACAAGCAAGAAAACATATTGCGCTTTAGCAATAGCTGTTGCTTATTGCTTTCGAACCACCGAAGACAAGCAAGAAAACGGATGCGGTAAAACGCAACAGCAACTTGTTTAGTTGTTTTATTAACGGTAATGATCTAAAAAATTAGGATAATGATGATGACAAAAATGCTGATGCTGATGATAATAGTAATAGCAAAGTAGGATGTTTACTTGCTGCAATCGGTGTTGAGAGAGATCGGCACTGAGATGGTCACACCACATGCACCGGGGAGTTTGGTTGCAGCCTCTTCCTTAATGTTGTGGAATTTTTCCGCCTCTTTCTTGATGCAGTCGCATGCTGCCCTCTTATCCACCACGGTGGCTGCTATTTGGGTCAAGTGCTTCATTCCGGCACAACAGGCGGGAGCCGGCTGATCGGCCGTGCCCGTCAGATAAGTGACACACTGTAAGAGTGACTCAGTGACCGCCATGCAGTCGATGGCTCGAGCTTGGTGGCCCAATTGGTGAGCCACAAGGAGCACCAAGAGGCATGTGACCAACCCCTTCATCATTTTTCCTCTATATGTAACTTTGGGAGACAATGTAGGATACTAGAGGGACTATGTGATATCCTATTATGATAAACTTGGTGGGGTATTTATAGTAGTGTATAGGGGATATGAACTAACAAAAATGTATGATAGGGGGGTGTCCCCTTTGGTTGGGAGTGGCTAAATATAGCATTTGGTTACCTGAAAAAGGCATTTGTGATGAGAACTCAATTGTGTCTTGATGGATGGCATTTCCTTAAAATTGGTATGCTTTCAGCTTTGGGGCAGTGCCTGGTGTGAACTGCTTTGTCCTCACTCTTTACAGCCAAATGTTTATGATGTTTTCATGAAATAATGGGGTGAAACTCAATGTTTATGATGTTTTCATGAAATATGGTCTCCAAAGTCATAATTGCGGCCACAGGCATTTCATGTTGGGGGTGTAGGATATGCCATAATAAGCCTTGATACCCATAAAAGAATATGGATTGTATAGCTTATTTGTATAGGAGCACACTATATACTTACTCCCTTATGCAAAATTCCGCCCGAGAGAATTTACTCAATCTAAAATTCTTATATCCACTTTGTAATCACTTGAGTTTTCCCCAAAAAAAAATAAAAAAAGGGTCCACATTTTGAGTTTCTAAACACTCTTGGACAATCTTTATTCCATCTTATGATGATATTTACTTCGGGCAATGTAGAATGCGTGTGATCTTTTTTATATGAGTGCGTATACTATGCTCCCGTGGGAGTATAAAGTACACATCAACACCTAAAAATCACTTGATAGTTGCGTTCAAAATGGAAAAAAAAATTGAATTTTGATTTTTGTAATGCTTAAATATCGCCACTTAAAAATTGGATGGTTTCCATTCACTTTTGAGGTAATATTTTTTTCAAACCCATAGAGAATGCAACTAGGAAATGTTTTTTGTTGTGTTTAACATTTGGGTCTAAGACGTTAAATCCCCAAACTTTGGGTCCTAAAAATACTTTTAGATTGGTTTTACCCAAGAGAGTAAATAGACAGTGTGCTCCCTTAAAACACAAAATCTATTTGTTTTTTATATTATTTTTAATGTTTAATCTCTATGAAGTTGGTCATAGGATGAGGAGGTTAGATCCGCAAAACTTTGTGGTCCTAAAAACATTCTTTGCGAGGTTTTACCGGAGAGAGTAATATACAATATGCTAATTTTCAAGAGCATATAATCATTGGCTTAGATGTAATGGGCCCATCGGGCTGCGGGATGAGTATCCTATTATGCAGTGCGGGGTACGTGCACGATGCACTGTGTCGAATGTAGAGGTATTTTGGTAATTTTGATGGGTGACTTCTTTGAGGCCCAAACTTTTCAACAGTAGGTCCAATTTGAGTGATCTATAGACTGTCTGAAAGCTCTCGGCGTTTACTATGGCTTGAGATATGTTTTGGAAGGTTATGGGATAATTAAACTGGATCTAAACTGACTATGGTTTAGAAAGGTCTGTGCGGTCGTAGTGACTCATAATCAAGGTTACCAGAATCTCGAGGGGGTATCTACAAATTTGTAAATTACTCTCCTTTGGGATCCAAAGTTTCTTTTCAAAATAAATAGACATAAAAAATTGTCCCATCTATTGGTTATAAGTGTATCTCCCCTTTTGAATTTTTTAATTTGTAAATTACTCTCCGTTGGGATCGGTTTATTTTCAAAATAAATAAAATTTAAAAAGTAAACCAACATTTGTCCCATCAATCGGCTCTAAGGAGTTGAAGGAAGTGGATTCATTAACTGTATGGCCCTTCTCTCTCTACATTAAAGTTCACTTGACGCCAACCAGTTAATTGGACCGAGATAAGTCATTGCTGTCATTTTGAGTGTATGGATTATATTAAAATTTTAGGGATTTATTCTGACTAATTTCCAAAATTCCGTCATGTTTCTCATAACTATCATAGATGTTGCATGTAGTGTTTCAAAGCCCTCCAATTTGGATCGGAGATCAGCTGGGATCGAATTAATTTTGTGGATGAATCAATACCGGCCATGGAGTAACTTTTATATGTCTGAAGGCTGATGCAATAGTATACAGCTAATGATCTATATTGAATTACAGTTAATTTGATGGTTATGATCACATTTTATATTTAAATTTTAATATTTTTTCTACAAATTCAAATAGTTTAAAATTGGAATGTCCACTCTTTCATTAAGTCACACCTAATAAAACTATATATAAAAAAATACTTCACAAAAAATAAATTGAGCAAAATATCCCCTAAATATTTTAGGGGCACTTTGGTCAATTTATTTTTGGTGAATTATTTTTAAAATATTTTTATTAGGTGTACCTATTTTTCGATAGTAGACACTCCAATTTTCAAGTAATTTATATTTCTAAACAAAATTAAATTCAAAGATGAAATACAATTATGACCATTTGATCGACATATACTATTACATTAGCCTTGAGATTGACAAACGCTTACCTAATGTTTTCTTAAGGTCTCTAACCCGCATTTTACTTTTTTGAACTTTTTTATTTTTAAACATGTTTCTAGATTGCTAATGCGGACCAATTGGTGATCCGATACGGATTTGTGGGATAGAAAATCGAGGTATGAGTTTTGAATCATTGCTAACTTGCATCTGTTATGATATGATAGGACATCCAAGAACAGAGGAAGATTAGGGTATTTAAAAAGGCTATGGTTTATTAATAGGGGTGGCAATGGACTTGGACCCGACCCGGGACCCGTTGGGTATACCCCACATGAGTTCTAGTATGGGTCCAGTATTTGGACCTAGTGGGTCGGGTTTGGGTCCAAAACTTGGACCCGAACACTATTCTGGTCCGGGTCCATTTGGACTTGACTCATACTCGTAAACCGTTGGAGATAAAATACTTTATTTTAAATCCTATTCGTTTGGTATGTAATAAGAACTCGTAGTCATCTTTAGCTATTAAATGACAAATCAGACAACTTGAAATCTACTGGAGAGTGATTGTGACCTTGTTGCCAATAATATGGGTATATAATGGTAATAAAAAAGGGCAAAAGAAGAAGAAGAGAAACTCATAGTGAGGGTGAAAATGGACCCGACCAGACCCAGGACCCGAATGGGTAGACCCAAGACCCGACATGTATGGGTATAGATCTAATTTTTGAACCCAACGAATCAAGTTCGGGTCCAAAACCTGGACCTGAATACTATTTGGGTATATTAGCGGGTCCAGCCGGGACTGACCCATACCCAATCCGTTGCCAGCCCTATTTACAAAAAGCATCAACCCTAAGCAATTGACGGAGAGAGAGAGAATGTTACATTCCAAACACTTGTTCTCATAGTTTGGAAAATGAAATTAAAAGCAAGCCCAAAGTGTAGAATACATCTTAATATGACACTAACATATCACACTTGTTCTCATAGTTTGGAAAATGAAATTAAAAGCAAGCCCAAAGTGTAGAATACATCTAATATGACACTAACATATCACACTTGTTCTCATAGTTTGGAAAATGAAATTAAAAGCAAGCCCAAAGTGTAGAATACATCTAATATGACACTAACATATCACACTCAACTAGGCAAGATAAACTGGTAGAAAATCAAACCACGAGAGAGAGAGAGAGAGAGAGAGAGAGAGAGAGAGAGACTAGTATAGA